TATATATATATATATATATATATATATATATATATATATATATCAATTAAGTAAAATTTAATGTCATTTAATTATTTTGTCTGTTTACAGCCTGAAACAGGAATTGCAGAGATGACACAGCTAAGAGGGACAAGGATGAAAAAAGTAGAGAGGAAAAGTAGTAAAGGAGGAACTCCAACACAAGAGACAACAGGTAAATAAACCTATTAAACTTGATGCAATGTCAATTTTTTAATTAAAAGCTATTTGTCAACGTCATTGACAGATATTGTTTTTTTGTTTTTTATCTGCGTTTTTCAAAGCTCACATCAGAGGTGCCAAAGGAATGATGTGTGACACTGGGCCACAGTCAGATAATCGAGAGAATTTGTGTACCTCTGCTGTGGGGTCAAGGGTCACAGAGACAGCACCCGCCAGACATCGCTGGAGTAACCCCACTGAAACAGCCTTAAACTGGGTACCAGCCTACAACACCCGTCTACCTCCCTGCAATGAATATCGAGTGCACATCTGTGACTGCACTACATCCAGAATCCAAGGTCAAGCAGATAAAATCAATGTTCAAAACACAAAGAAAGACTCCTTGCCCAAAGGAGTGTTGTGTTCCAGCACCAGTGTAGATTTCTGTGCCTCCAATGTAAGTCATTTTTGATATATACTATCATTCAAAATTCGGGGTCGTGAGTTTTTTTAAATGTTGTTGAAAGAAGTCTCTTAGGCTGCATTTATTTGATCAAAAATACAGTAAAACAGTAATTTCTTGAAATATTATCACAATTTGAAAAAACAGCTTTCTGTTTTAATACATTTTAAAATGTTATTTATTTCTGTGGTGGCAAAGTTGAATTTTCAGCAGCCATTACTCAGACTTCAGTGTCACGATTCTTCACAAATCATTCTAATATGCTGATTTGGTGCTCAAGAAACACAATTATTTCACATTATTCTGTGCAGAGTGCTTGTATAAATTAAATTTCTATATATAGTAAATACACAAACCATCCAAGCTTCTTAATTCATGTGATATAAACTCAAGCTGTTAACCTCCTATCAAGCACTGAATGCATGTTATTATATAAGACTCTTGAAAATCGTCCTGTCATGCCAACCAGTGATATTTTCACACACTTCAGAGTGATGACCTCTAGTGTTTTCTGAAGGTATATAGAGACAATGTAAATTGATCATCTTTTCCTGTTTCCTGGTTTCTTGATATGTATCATCTTTCTAGCACTGAGTACTGTATGTGTGAACAACTACACCGTATCACTCTCAGATAAAGTGGAGCTCTCATAAAAGGTTAGGAAGGGCTGTTTGTTTTCAATAGCTTGTAGTGCTTGAAGAAATAAATTATAATGCCGTAATCCTGGATTTGGATTTTGCTATGGCCGACTGCACACAGCTGGATTAGGCTGCAACTGTCTGTAAGGTTTTCTTGAACACTATTGGTCAGTTCATGCCTCTTACAGCAATCCGTATTTTTAAGTAAGTCTTTCTTCAATGAAATCAGAAGTGTTTAATTTTTGTGCCTCTCGCGATGCAAAACGTAATTGCAACAATTATTATTATTTTCAAACAGGTTAAACTCATAGTTTTCTATATGCATATAAAGGTAAGATTTTAATTCTTTACATGTATAAAGAGCCAATGACCAACATGCTTTGCATATGCAAAATACATAAGACAGATATGCAGATAAAACTCGTCGTTGTGCAGTTTTGCAAAAAAATCCTAACTGCAAAGTTGTGAAAGTAGACAGGAAGTGTTTCAAAAGCATGGGCCCACTTCCTTGCGTGCAGTGGAGCTACTTCCCCTATACAGAGACCAGATTTTGCAATTTGGGCAAAAGACAAAAGGAACATTGATTAATAAGCTTTCATTTGAGTATATTTATAGTTTTTCCTATAATGTGAAATTATGAACATGACATTAATCATTAAAGTTATATGAAAAAACGGTGGAAGCACAGATTCTTGCATCTATTCCACAAGCTGAGGGCCTTCATGAAACCAATATGATGCAAGTATAGGCTTCGATTATGTAAAAAGCACCTCTATGGAAATTCTGTGCCACAGAGTCCCACTTACTGAATTTGTGTTACTCGAAATAACTGTGAAGTGGTGAACCACAAAATGCAGACTCAAGCATTTAGTGTTTTTCCCCTGTAGAACTGATGCCTTGATAATAGACAGAGTGCGCATTGGCTCACATCCTGTGTGATTTAAGGAAGTTCTTGTAATCGGTTGTTCTGCTAAAGCGTTGCATTTTTACACTTGTGGAGCTGAGAGGTAAAACCGCTAGTTTCAGATTAGACTTTCATTTTAAGGAAAAACTGTACGCACACGTCAAGGCGATGCTTCAAAGGGCTGCTTCAAATGCATCAGACAAACCAAAAAGTCTTAAACCTAAGGTAGGTTTTATGAATGTATCTTAATATTTCAGGTAATAATTTGAAGGTGTTATTCAAGTAGTTCAGATATATTAGGTTAGAATAGATGTGTCATGCATTGCTGCCATATCCCAGTAGATCTTACGTTTGAAAATGAACCAAAAAAGTGGACATTTCTAAGAACAATGTAACAAAAAGGAAACAGCTTGACACCACACAGCATTACTGAATAAGTATGAACAGCTTCGCCAAGGTCAAATTATGATACCACAGTTTGCTATTTGATTGAGATTACATGGATTTTAAATTTAGATAATTATTTGCATTTTCCTGTGGAAGAGCTGACAGGTTTTGAGCAGATTATGAATCATTCAGTGTTTTTATCAAATTGAAAACACTAAAACGATGAGACGTCAAGTGCCGTTTAATGTACTGAAGTGCTTTATAACAAGGACAGTATAATGACAATTTTTGTTTTATGCAGAGTAATTTACATGTACATGTAGCATGTGCCTTGATGTTATATCAGTTATAAATGTGGTTGGTTTTATTTACCTGACACAGCGATCCACCAGTTTTGGAAGATTTGACACATTCAGAAATCAACACTCCCCTTCCAAACTTGAGGAAAATGGAGCACCTGAAGTAAGAAGAATCTGCATGAATAAGACACTTATTAATCTGAGAGTTTATGCCCCAATATGATACAATGTTTCCTCATAAAATATTTTTCACTGCAAACCAGCAGCCTATTTAAACTATAATTGTCTAACTGACCACTGGGTGGAGTTTTTTTTTTTTAATATGCAAAAGGATTAACAAAACATTTTGTGTGTTTTTGGGTGTGTAAAACAGTCAGAGGGTGAGTCAACAGCAGAAAACTGTGAGAAACCGGGAAGTCTGGGAAAAAAGATGAAAGCCATCTCGATGACTATGCGTAAAAGGATGGCCAAGAAACACGTCAAATCCTTCTCTGAGGACATGGTGAGTCACAATGCAAGTTCCTCATTTGATTACTGACACTGATTAGGCAACTCAGTTCTTTATTACCCAAAATATCAGCAGTTCATCAGACAGTACAGGGAGACTGTGGCTTGGTTGGCACATTTAAAGAAATATTAAATATGTATGTAAATATTAAGGGGGTTGTATTATTCCCTTTGTTGGTTGTTACTATCCTGAAATGTTTTTTTTTTTAATTATATATAAAACTAAAATTATATATATTCAGATCTGCTATGAATTAATTATTATATTATATTAATTATTGTATGATCTTCAATGCTTAAAAGTCTATATCAATATATAGCTGGTTTCCATCTCTGTTAACTAACATTTATATATTTTATCATTTAAAATAAAAAAAAGTGCAAAGCTGTACAAAAGGTAAATGGTACATATTAGTACCTTAAAGGTACACATTAGTACCTAAAATGTGTATTTTTTTTTTTTTTTTTGAAAGAGTACTGCTCCAGTGACAGTTTTGTACCTTTTTTCTGAGAGTGTACCTTATGACCCAGAAATCATGACCCACAAAACAAACCCCTGAAACCAACCAACCCCAGTTCGTATGAATATCCAGACTGATATTTTGATTGGTGCAGGGTGATGACACTGAGGGAGAAACAGAGAATGGGTCTCCAGCAGAGAAGAGCTCAGACCACACCAGCAACTCATTAGAAAGCCTCTACAGTGGACAGAGCTTGTCCAGTAAGTATCTACACACATGCGACTGAAGTGGAAAGTGTTTTGACATTGTAATTATACTCTTTTTGTTTATATTTATTGGCTCAGGTGGTGTTGCTAGCAGTTCAGATGTATCCAGTAACAGAGACAGCCTGAAACTGGAGGAGGAAGTGCCCTACACGGGGCAGTTCTGCGGGCGAGCCAAAGTACATACAGACTTTGTCCCTAGTCCATATGATACGGACTCCCTCAAGCTGAAGGTGAAATACAAATTGTGATGTTTTTATTCAAGCTTGCATCCAGGTGAATTAATCATCACAATTTTAAAGGGGAAACATTAACTGCCAACAGTAAGTTAATGGTGTTAGTGATCTTTTTCAGGTGGGAGACATCATCAACATCATAAGTAAACCACCTATGGGCATATGGACAGGAATGCTTAATAATAAAGTGGGAAATTTCAAGTTTATTTATGTGGATGTTCTGCCTGAGAAAGAGAAGGAAGAAGAAGAGGAGACTCCAAAAATAAGACCTGTGAAAGTATGCAAGAAGCCACGACCAAATACACTCCTGGAGTTATTAGAGAGACTTCATTTAGAGGTATAACCAGACAGGACACACATGTGTATCCATGTACACATAGAAACATCACTTATCCTTCATGCCCACCTGCTTAATGCTGCAAAATCCACCAGAAAACTAACCACAAGTTTTAATGTCACTATCTTCACCTCACACTGATTGGCTGCCAACAGTGTTTTCATTGTTAACTAAAATAAAACTATTAAAAACAATTTTCTGTAACTGAAAAAAAGCTGAAATAAAATATAAATACTAGATGAAAAACAGAAACTTTTTTTTTTTTTTAGAAATGTTGCGTTGTAAACTAACTGAAATAAATAATTTTAAGTTAAAGTATTAACATAATATAAATATAACAATATTAATAGTAATATATAATACAATATAAATAGGTTAATAAAATCATATAAATAATAATAGCTTTATAATTAATTTTTAATAAAAATGACAAACACTTAAAAACTTACAACAAATATAAAATGAATAGAAAAATGACTGTAAATTAAAAAAATAATGCTATAATAGTATATAAATAGTAAATAAATAAATAAACACCCAGTTCCCTAGAAAATTAATTAAAAATGCCCACTCACATCCACACTAGTGGTCATATATGATTCAGTACAAGTGCAAGATAATTTCCCTAACATTTCCATTAAAAATGTCCATAAATTTGTCTTTGACCAGATAGTTTATAGCTGTATTGTTCATTTTAATGTTTGAAATCTCTTTTGTCACAGGAATATGCATCTTCATTACTCCTCAATGGCTACCAGACAGTAGATGATCTCAAACATCTGAAAGAGAGGCATTTGATTGAGCTGAATGTGACCGATCCAGAGCACAGACGCAAGTTGCTTGCTGCATCAGACTGCCTCTATGTCACAAGCAGTGAGTATCAATACAAGCAATTTGATTGGCAACACTATATTTTGGTTTTCTCTGTGTCCATCTCAGGAAACCTTATGTCAGCAAGCCTCAGGAAGGACATAGATACTGCTATCTTTGCATCGTCTATTTTTGTGTTTGGATGAAATTCTGCCTTTTTGAAATACTAGAGTTAGACTGCGAGTCCAGTTTTACTGAAAGTCAGAACCTTATTTGTTTTAATTTAATCTATAACGTTCTGTGCCGTCAGGAACAGCCTTTTCCTGTAAATGCAGGTCAGGATTAATTGGCGTTTGGATGTGGGCTCACTGTGTGAGCAGGTGGCACATGGCTGGGCTGCTCTGGCTGATATGAGTGTGGGATAATAACCAGGAAGACACACTGTCATTTAATTAACATTAATTTCATTTGGGTTTTTGAGCAAACGCAAACCTGATTTGTTCGGCAGAGATTAAATTAACGAGCAGGAATTTGTATGAGAGTTTTAACCTTAATTTATTTGCTTTACTTACAGAAGATGAAGAGGGAGAGATGAAGGGCGATGAAGACGAAGATAATGACTGTCCCAGAGACTCGGGTTGTTTTATTCCTGCAGAGTGTCCTGACAGCTGAGAGTTATCGAATGTCTCTCTCCTGGTATAATTTAATGTTAAAGCTACAAACAGACACAGTTCAACTCTGTTAATATATTTTCTTTTGTCACAATGTGTGTTCGTCTTTCATTTGAATGTACTTGTGTTTTGTATTTACACATTTTTTGTTCAGCTTTGTGTTGAAGTAACCTATTTCTGTTCATGTAGATGTTATGTGAAATTCCATGGCACCATACTTATGTGTGAGGAATTTTACAGCTTTGTTTATCAAAACAACGCTTACAAATGTTTATCATGACTGAAATGTATATAATGTTATTAAAAATAAATTATTTATTCTGAAGTTTTCTTTTCTTCCTCATTTTGCTGTGTTTGAACACATTGCTACTGCTGCTAAAATTCATACTATTCACTTTCCATTTGTTTCTCAAAATAACTATTTGGGTTGGGTGGGCGTTTGGTGGGATGAGGTTCCAGATGACTAGTCACGTGCGATGAGTGATAAGGAGGTATCGTTTCAAAGCACTTTCCTGTTTCCATCCTACCTGAATTAATGCTTAATACGCAACTCCTCTCTCTGAATAATATGCTAATATATATTGGCAATGACTAATATTTACTGATATAATCTTGATTCCACCTAAATATGTGTTTATTTTTGGAAAATAAAACAAAGTTATTTGAAACTAGGCACCTAAGTTTGCCAGTTGTAAAAAAAAAAGAAAAAAGTTTTCATACATATTTATGATCAATTTTACTAAGGTCTTGTGGCAGGAAATATATATGTTATATATATGTTTGTGACCACATTTATTTATTTGACTTCTCTGCTTGGGGGGAAAAAACTCATGCATATGATGAAAGAGTGGAAAACTTGTTTTACTTGATTAATAATAATTAATACTACTACATAATTCATAAATGCAGGTTTGCAAAAAAATATTACAAATTTTGATATTGGATTTCAAATGTATTATTATTTGTTTGTTTGTGCTGTGCATACTGTCTTGCGCACTTATAATGCTGAATTTCTGTACAGTCTACGGTTTCAAAACTAAAAAAGATAACAGGAAGTTGTGCAGAAGTCCACTTGCGCTTTACAGTGCATCTGGGAAATGTAGTTAACAGGAGTAGTTCCACTTACATTTGTAACCATACAACTGATGAAAAGAACTACAACCCCAATCAGCCCAATAGCGCGTATTAGGTCGACGTGTATGTTCACTCAGTCGGCGCAGATACTGAATGAACATCTCTTATACTGTTATCCATAACATTTTGGGTTGGAACCATGGCCGGGGAAATGTCCATAATAGGTGAGTTTTAAATTAAACTAATGTACTCGGGAAGATGTTTGTCAGATTTAACAGAATAACCATTCATGTAGCCGTTAGCTAGAAATAGAACTGACGCATCTGGCATGAAAGTCCCAAATAACTGACTGTACATAAATAACTATATCAGACAGACATATAGTTATATTGTCCAGCTTGAGGCAAAACAGTCAGCCTCAAACATCAGCTGATTTTATACGCCATATATAGACGCAGCTGGCGTCCGTTCTTTATGCTACAGATGTTACAGCGGCTGTATCTCAAAACCTAGTTAGCTACCTTTCTGGACAAGCATGTTTGTGCATCAACGCACCAGAATATGGTCTAAATTTGCCTTGTCTTATTTTTCTACATACCACGTTTTTGGACAATATACCATTGTATACTTTGAAATACATGAACAACATATACATATGGTTACCATTAAGTTCAATATGTTATATAACGACAGAAAAAATTTGGAAATTTTTGTGTGTCCATACAGGTTCCGTCATCCTGGCTTTGTTCCTGGCAGGATATCTGGGACAGCAGTACCTGCCCCCTCCAAAGCCCAGGGTCATTGGGTTGGATCTTGGGACCACTTTCTGCTCTGTGGGAGTGTTTCAGCCTGGCACAGGCGAGATTGAGGTTATTGGAGATGACAAAGGTCACAAAAGCATTCCGAGTGTGGTGACATTCACCCCGACTGGTGTGTTTTCTGGACATGAGGGTCAAGAACTGTCTGACATAAATCCTCAAAACACAATCTATGACGCCAAGAGATTTATAGGGAAGATTTTCGACCAAGAGACTTTAGATAAAGAGAGCGCACGATACCCGTTTAAGGTACACATTTCATATTTTACACTCTTTAAATGCTCTTGCACCGCTTACTGTGTCTCTAACATTTTCTTGACTGTTTTAGGCGATATTCAACAATGGGAGTGCAGAATTTTTAGTCTCTACAAATAGCACCTTCACAGTTACTCCTGAATTCATCGGATCCCGTCTCCTCCTGAAAATGAAAAAGATGGCAGAAAGGCAACTAGGAATACCTATTGATAAAGCCGTCATATCAGTGCCAGCAGAGTTTGATGAGAGGCAAAGAAACTACACCATAAGAGCTGCTAACCTAGCTGGTGAGTTTACTAAGGTGTACATTAATCGCAAAAGCCAGTCATTTCATTAGGAATCCACAATTAGGAAATTTGTCACACGAATTCACTGCATTGACCAACAGAAAGCTGCTTGGTTTGGAAGTAACTTCTGTGCGAGCTGTCCTTCATACATCTCTATTCTATTGACAATGGACTTTTTTTATTGCACACAAAATTTCGTTACAATTTTGCTAATGTGGCCACAGCTTTAGTCAGTCACAACTTGGTTATGTCTTGCTATTGGAATCTATGGAAGGCACTCAAAAAATAAAAAAAGGTAAATTGCGAGATGTACTCAGAATTCTGAGGAAAAACATTAGAGTTGTGAGATATAAACTCAGAATTGCGAGAAATATGGCAGAATTCTGAGTTTATATCTCGCTATTCTGACCTTTTTTATTTTTGATTGCGTGGTGGAAATGGGCTTCCATAGAAGCATCAATACAATTAGCCTTGTAAAAGCTGATAATGTTCTGGTTAAAATCTATAATAGTTAACTGATCGATCACTGTGCATGTCTTCTTCATCAGGCCTGGACATCCTGCGGGTGATCAACGAGCCCACGGCGGCGGCAATGGCTTATGGACTGCATAAAGCAGAAGTGTTTAATGTGCTAGTGGTGGATCTGGGAGGAGGAACACTAGATGTGTCACTTCTCAATAAGCAGGGTGGCATGTTCCTCACTAGAGCAATGGCAGGTGAGCTGGGTGATATGGCATTATAAATGTGTCAACTAGCAGAGATTTTACTATGGTAGGTATATTTGTGTGGCTATTAATGGGCAGGGCTGCTTTATGTTATTTACATATTTGAGACACATCCTGATCTTTATTTTCCCCATTACTGCAAGTTTGTTTGTTAAAGCAATGTTGAAGAAGAAATAATGGGTGTAACATGAAACAATGTAGAATTGTATATGTTTGCCAAGCAGTTTATTTTAAATTACACATTAAAATAGAAAAGTTTTTTATAATACTAACTTAATTATTTTGAGTCTTTTGTTTTAATTCCAGGGTTGCAGTCTTAATGATTTTTGCACTGATACCACATTCGTTATGAATACTCCTACATGCAAACTCGTTGTCTTTCTGATATAGGCCATTCACTTGATTTGTGCAGAGAGTCTTTTCCTGTCTTAAGAAAGGTTTCGATGGCATTTTCCTTTCCTCATACTTCCGTATAATGCTGAATACGTTGGTGTTTATAAGTGCTATTTCTGCTTTGCCACAAGCGCCACCTCCTGGCAGACACTGAATTAGCGTTTTCGTTCAGCTCGACTGCCTTTTTGTTCAAACTAATAATACATAAAATACATAATCCTTTACCCTTTTGACTCATCCGTTTTTCTGTAAAATGGTTTAAATGCTTAAATGTGAGGTTTATACTTTTATAAAGCGTTTTGCTTTTAATCACAATAATGAATTCCCTTGCCGGTCCTCCTGTCCAACAAAAAAAGAGAAGCGACTCTGCTTTTTGTCTTCGTCGGTATTTCTGTCTTGTGGCTTCAGATATTTTCTGCTTCTTCAGCGGTACAAGTACCAATTCTCCCATAGTCTTTGCTGGTAAAGCGCGTGTTCAGTTGTCTAATTTTGGCGCGACCCACACCATACATAATTTAAAAAAAAAATTTCACCTGGGTGTACATTATTCAAATGACTCTCCACACTACTGCATGCACCTTAAAAATATAAAACAATTTATATATTAATTTATATTATATTAAAAATATATTATATACATTTTCCATTAAATGTAATACCAATTTAAATTGTCATAATACATTATATTAAAATATAAATGTCATGGTAACCTTCTGTAGTTTTTCTAGTTCAGTTCTACAGGTTTTTTTTTATGGAATTTTTTTTTTTTTTTTTTTTTTTTTTTACAAGTCCTTATCCGGTCATCACAAATGATTAGAAAATTAATAGAAAATCATTTAAATTCATTGTTTAGAACAAGTAGGGACCCTGGTTATGACCTTTTGTATTTTAATACACATGCCATGTTTTTCCCCAGGCTCTGTGGTTTGACCTCAATGGGTATTTAGGTTACAAGGTTTGGGGTAGTGCAATCTCACAGAAACCTCATGACATTTAGCTAACACGTATGGAAATGGTGTCACATCAGGTGCACAACCCTCATCCTGTTTCAGCATGAGATTAACACATGGTCTTCTTAATCTCCACAGGTAATAATAAGCTAGGAGGGCAGGACTTCACCCAGCGTTTGCTGCAGTACACCATCGAGCGAGTGCAGCAGCAGTACGGCGTGCCTCCTACTCTTAAAGAAGACATCCACCTTCTCCGACAGGCCGTGGAAGCCGCCAAGCTCAACCTCACCCAGGAGCCTCACGTTCGTCTCTGAGTTCCTCTTCACCTGCAGACAACGGGAGCGAATGGAGCACAGGAGGAAAAAGTCCTGTTTCAGGAGAAGCTGACACGGGAACTCTTTGAGGAGCTGAATGCAGATCTCTTCCAGAAGATTCTGGCACCCATTGAGACTGTCCTCATAGAGGGCCATCTAGAGAAAGAGGAAGTGGATGAAATTGTCCTGGTCGGAGGGTCTACAAGAATCCCTCGCATTAGACAGCTCATTAGTCAGTACTTTGGGAAGGAACCGAACACCTCCGTGGACCCTGACCTGGCCGTGGTGACCGGGGTGGCCATTCAGGCAGGCATCATGGGAGGTTCTTGGCCTCTCCAGGTCAGCGCAATTGAGATTCCCAACAGACATCTTCACAAAACCAACTTCAGCTGATTGGTTGAGAGACTGCTACTTGGGCATTTGTCACGTGACTGCTATGTGCCAACAAACCATTTATGTTATTATGTTTTTGCTTCTTTATATGCATTAGCTTTGCAGTGAATTCCTGATATTGGGCCAAACACAATAGTTACTTGAGCATTTGTACTAATGTCTGGACTTGTTGGCCCAAATTACAATTTGTACATTTATCTTCAGAATAGATGCAGAGTATTTATTTAGTTCTCCTTTATAAAAATAGCATTGAGAGAATGTTTTTCTCCTGTTATCTTGAGCAAGTGTCTGCTTGGGACCTTATTGGTTAGTTTATTGCCATCTTTGTGCCTAACTGGTACTAACTGTGCAATAAGTCTGACAACTGGTTTTGGCAGGTTTAATGATGTTGTATTCAGGGAAGCAGCTGTTTGTATATAACTGAATGATCATTGCAGTCTCAGCTATTTATTTATTTATTTTGCCAAGTCTAGTTGTGATTTCAGCTAGCTGTTTCGGTCTACTGGAGTTTTGCTTGTGCCTTTTTAATCATTGCCACAGTTAAATGTGTATTGTAGACTAAGCATAGTCAGATTTTTACTTTATTTTTAAAGACTTAGTCTTTTTTGTGAGTTTTTTTTTTCTTCTAATAGAGTTAAGTATTAGTAAATGGTAATACCACCTGCCAACTGTTAAATATAGGTCATTTAAAATGGACAGTACCAGCATGACCAGTGTGGTATTAAGTTCATGAAATCTTTTATAAAAATGTGAATTAAAATATATAAACGTTTATATATATATATATATATATATAGTGTTTAATTTCACATTTATCTGCATATAAAAAAAGTTAAGTATAATTAACCACACAGACCAAAAAAAAAGATGTTAAACTTGTTTTTTGTGTTGGCCTGTTTTGTTTACATAATGCTAAAAGCTCAATATTAGAGGTGAAAATACATTATGCAAAGTGTGAACATAGTTTAATGCACTTTACATACATAAGAGGAGTTCAGAACATTGCACAAAGTCAAAAGGGAAAACAGTTTATCAGTGTGAATGCATATTCAAAACTTTCCTGCAACTGTTAAAAATATTGAATTCTTTTAATTGTATTTTTGTACAGTCCTGTACCATTTCCTTTGTTGCATTATGCACAGAACCTGGTTTGTGCGTGTCATTACAATCCTTTTAACTTTTGCTACTGTGCAAAGAAAAACAAACCTTGTTAAAACTGCAGTGTTTTTTTATTGATCAACCTCTGAAACACATCAATACAAAATAAAAACATCAAACAGCACAATCGTTCAGTCTCGTCCTCTGTGTAACAGCACAAGCCACTGTAAACAATGTCACATCTCACATTTACAATATTAAGTAAAAGGTCAGGACATGGGAAGCCCTGAACAAAATATTTAATACATGAAAAGCTACTCAAACAAAAGGGGTGAGACTAAAATGACAATAACGGCTTAAAAAATGAAATAAAAAATATGAAATAAAAATCACTGAACAATATTCAAACACACTTTTTATTATAGGACAGCATCCAAGTAATATTGCACAGCATCAAAACTCCAAGCCATCTTCCTTTATAAACAGTATTCAACTACACAATCAAATCTAAATTTTAAACAGACCCTCTTTCGTGGATCTTTAAGTTTTGGTTTCTGTAATCCACCATTTCAGCCTAATTAGCCTAAATTTTCCATGTAATCGGACATCATACCGACCAAGACAATAAGGCTGGGTGATTTCCTCCCAAAATGACAACTGAACCACATGCTAAATAGGTGGTATATTAAATACAGTAAATATAACGAAGGCTAAAGGCAGGCACTCTGTAAACACCTGTTTATTCTTAAAAATATTCTTCACAACCATTTGAACAGAAGGCATCGTTAGACTGTGAATATCACACCAAATCAAGATCTAGAAATGAAAAGAAAAACTGGCATATTAGGTTATACTCCACATTGGCTGGCTATGGAAGATTATAAAAAATAAAATCCCCAAAAACCGACAGATGAAATCCACTATATTATCACAGGCATGCTTTCAATAGGAAGCAAGTAACGGGCATTCCAGGATCCTCAAGTGTTACGTAGGGGAAGAGGCCACAGATTTGCTAATAGTCAACAGAAGAACTGCACTTCCTACTTCTCTTTACTGTCCAGAATTTAAAACAAGCAACTTAATAGCGGAAGAAAAAACTCAATTTTCTGTACACGGGTCCATCATAAACAGTAGGCTAAGAGTTGAGTCAGTAGCTGAGAGGAAACACCACAAGCTTGATCAGGATGTGATGTGATTTTTCGTTCCATGAGTCAATGAGCAATGCCTTAATTGGTGTAGTAGTTAAATCCATTTTCCGTATAGGGTTCATCGCTGGAGACTCCGTTGCTCACCTCTGTGGAATAAGACGGAAAGATGCAATGCAAATTACGCTTAACACCCACAACGTTTACAAGACCTCCACTATGACAACCGCAAACCAAGGATCTTCAATCATACTTGAGATACACCGGCTCTGTTCCAAACCCTAGTGAGCTGCCTACCTCGACAGCATTTTATTAGGCATCATAGGTGTGATTCTGATGTGAAATAGTTATCATCACCTTCATACTCACCATACGCAGGGCACAGTTACCCTGGCCATTGATGCTACAGCCCTGCATGAGCTACCATTCAAGCTGTGGGATGTCAGCAGAGTATGGATTGACGGATGAATGGATGCAGGAAGAGACGGGATGGTGGCAGACAGTGAGAGACAGGAGGGAGAGGGAGAGATGGAATGGGATGAAGGGATGCAGTGACACAGACTCAAACCCAGGAGGTGGACAGCTACTGTGGCTGACCTTAGAGACAGGGCAAAAACACACACAGAGGCATGCAAACACTGTTGGGACACATGCACACACAATTTTAATCCAAAAACACATTGCATGCAACCCTTGTAGAGTCAACTGGACATTAATCACGAAATAACCCCTGACAGAGGGATCTTGTGTCGCTCTGAAGAAGCATTATTATTTTGTGATAATGAATGTTGGCTGTACCACTTATTACACAGCTACTTATCAAATAAACACAACACCTGTTGTTCACCAGTGGACCCTCTGCAGTGAATGGGTGCCATCAGAATGAGAGTTAATAAAAACACCACAATAATCCACACAACTTCAGTCCATCAATTAACGTCTTGTGAAGTGAAAAGCTGCATGTCTGTAAAACAAAAATCAAACAAGTCCTCCATCCATAATATTGCTTCTTTCATTTCACAATTGATGGACTAGAGTCGTGTTTCTGACGGCACCCATTCACTGCAGAGGAAGAGACGGGATCCATTGGTGGGCAAGTGATGTAATGCTACATTTCTCAGAATCTGTTCTGATGAAGAAACAAACTCATCTACAACGTCATTGGCCTGAGGCTGAGTACATTTCCAGCACATTTTCATTTCTGGGTAAACTATTCCTTTAAAATGAATACTGAAGTCCTTCAGTTTTGAGTCACTAATGAGCTTTTCTACCTTCTTGGTATGAAAAGGGAGACATTGTGGAGTAATATATGAGACATGAAAATTATTTTGCCATGGACAAGCGTGAAATATGTAGTTTAGTGATATTTGATTGACCAATCAGAATCAAGTATTTCATAGCGCAGTGTAATAAGCTTACATATAGCACTTCAACATGCAATATAAGAAACGCCAAAAGGATGTGGTTTGGTGGCTCTTACCAGAGAAGATGAGCTTCTCCTTCATGATGTTGACATCTCTGCTGGCTCTCCTGACGGCTGCACTCAGCATGATCTGCTCTGGGTTGTAGCTACGCATCCCGCTCATTCTCCACCTGTGATCACGTGCAGGTGCACACACAATCACAGACCGACCTCAGTGACCATATTCAAACAGAGTTTACATTGATGCTGCTGATTCTCCTGATAAAATCTATGCATTTTTAACTCATGAAGCTCACAGGAATTCATTCATGTAATTGGTAGATATATACAGTGTATTTACACTACCTTTCAAAAGTTTGGGTTCAATTACTTTTTTTTATTAATGCTTTAAATTGATCAAAAGTGATGGTAAAGACAACTATTATATCACAAAAGATTTATATCTCAAATGAATCTGTTCTTTTGAACCTTCTATTTATCAAATAATCCTGAAAAAATGTATTAGTTTCAACTAAAATATTTAGGTACTGTTTTCAACACTGATAATAATAAATGTTTCTTGAGCAGCAAATCGGCATATTAGAATGATTTCTGAAGAAACATGTGACACTGAAGACTGGAGTAATGGCTGTTGAAAATTCAACTTGGCCATCACAGGAATGAATTATGTTTTAATATTAAATATATTTATATTCAAATAGAAAAAAACAGTTTTAAACTGTAACAATATTTCACAATATTATTATTTTTACTGTATTTTTGATCAAATAAAGGGACATCTTTCAAAAAGAAAAATTACCAACCCCAAACTTTTGAAAGGTATTGTATGAATAATATTCTAAACTCTTAAGATTTTAGATGTATGTGTGAACTAAAAACAAAGCTGTTAATCTAAAGTTATAGTGACCATCTGTTCAAATTACCCTAAATTACAATGCATGTGCTTTATTATTTATTTATTTACTTAATTTATCTTTTAATCCGACACCATCTGTCAAAACTGACATTTTGGGGTGTTTTTTTGGTCCAAAACAAAAGCATTTGAATTAAACTGGATAGCTGGTAGGAATATAGATAACCTTAACCTTAAAAGCAAGTGTAAATTATTTTCGTGGAAAAAAAGCACTCTTCTGCAACAGTAGAAAATTATTCTCTGACTGAAACAAAAGCCAGCTAAATAATCTGTAACTGTCAGTCATGTGATTGTCACCCCCTAGTGGATAAATACGGAATGACTTAGCAAAACCCTCAAGTATACTTCCTTAATCCAAATCATTCCACATAATGTACCTCAATTAAATATTAATAATATGTTAAATGATAAGCAGTGATATTAAAGTGTAATCATGTGGGCTGTGGTTTAGTGAGAAGAATTAGTAATAGCATTGACAAAATACAGGTAGAATGAAAGATACAGGCAGACAGATTGAAACAGGCTTATACAGAGAAAGAAGGGCAAGAAAGGGGAGTTATAGACTGGCAGCATGGGCCAACAGCGCTGACCCAATTACCTGATCATGTGATAGCTGAGAGATGCCAGAATGCAGCAGAGAAGAGGAGCATGCACATCAGGCAGAGAGCAAGAAGAAGAGGAGAGGTGGAAGAAAGGGTACAAGAGCAAAAGAAAGGGAGAGAATTAAGAGGTCAGTTCAGAAAAGCAGATGCAAATGTCACTATGGCAAGCGCAGCATACGTAGAGGATCTAGAGTCCCACATAACATTGAGTTTTCAATTCACATATTTACCAGTCATGTTGATTTCCAATATTAAAGGGGTCATATGATGCGATTTCAATTTTTCCTTTCTCTTTGGAGTGTTACAAGCTCTTGGTGCATAAGAAGACTAAAGAAGACTAAAGTCTCAAATCCAAAGAGATATTCTTTATAAAAGTTAAGAGTCAACTACGCCTACCTAAAACGGCTCGTTCTAACACGCCCCCACATGTCTACATCACTATGTGGGAAGATATGCATAACGCCGCCCAAATGTTCACGCAAAGAAAGAAGGCGTGACTTTTATTCTCGCTATAGTATTGTTGTTGCCGTGTCGTGAAGGCGCTGTGTGTTT